TATATTCCAAGTGCACTGGGGTCCACAGTCATGTGCCATGCAGGGGTAGAGGACTGAGTACCCTGAGTACAGAATTGAGACAGCTTTTATAGGGTTACACAAAGCCCATGCATCTTAAACCAATTGGTGAGGACCAATCAATTTAAACCCTCCAAGCCTGCAAGCCTGCGCTTTATAGACCAATCAGTTTTCTATAGCCCAGGAGGTGGGCATTTGCATGGGCTCCTGGGTGGGGTGACAAAGCTCATTTCCTGTACTCGTGTACTCACAGGTCCTGTTGTAAACAGCAAAGAATGTGACCTTTTGTCTGCTTACTGCCAGGGGACAGGGTCTGGAATTTAAGGTGTTTAGGGCTTTTTTTTTCAGACTTCTAGTTTTCTGTGGTCATTGGAGAGTTAGGCTGTATTTTTTCATCCTTTCAATCCCTGTAGTCAGAAACCAACTTCATTTTAGTGTATGGTGTTTTTCATGTCTTATTGAATTTGATTTGCATGTGTTTATTAAGAACTGAATCTGTGTTATCAGGGAAATTGGTCTATCCCTTTGCTTTTTTGTTATGCTAGTTTTTTTGGTTACTGTTTGAGACAGTCTGTTATGTAGAACAGGCTGGCCTCAAACTCATAGAGCCTCTGCTGAAGTGCTGAGATTAACAACACAGGCCATCATTCCCAGCTTTTGGTGATTCTTAGTCAGTCTTGAATGAGTGATACTGGCATTGTAGAATAGTAATGTTCCTTCTGTTTTTGTTCTATGGAATAATTTGAAGAGCATTGATATTTCTTAAAGGTGTAGTAGAATTTGGCATTCCTCCCCTTCAGTGTTTCTCTTTGTTGGGAGAATATTACTGCTTCAGTCTCCTTGTTTACTAGAGATCTATTTAATATTTTTTCATGTCATCTTGAATTAATTTATATCTTTCTTGGAGGTTATCCATTTGTTTATATGTGATTTATTTATTTTTGTCATCGTTGTTTTCAAGACAGGGTTCCTCTGTGCAGCTCTGACTATCCTGGAACTCACTTTGTAGACCAGGATGGTCTGAAACTCACAGAGATCCACCTGCCTCTGCCTCCCAAGTGCTAAGATTAAAAGAAGATATCACCACCACCTGGCCTTAGCTGTAATTTTTTAATACAGCTTTTTGAAATGTAAATTTCCCAAATATCTCCTAATGGTCCTTAGTATTTCATTGATATTTGTTGTAATGTCTCCCTTTTAACTCCTTATTTTACTAATTTTGGGTTTTGATTAAGGGTTTGTACATTTTCTTGTTTCCCAAGAATCAACTGTTTTGTTCCATTGTTCTTTTATTTTAGTGCCCCGTTTATTTATTATTTCTTTTCATTTGTTGCTTCTGGGCTTGGCTCATTCTTGTTTTTATAAGATTTTGTGTATATCATTAATTTGCGAGCACTCTGCTTTCTTAATGTCACACACTGTATGTTTATGGATGAAAGCTGCCTTAACTCTGTCCTTACTTAGACAGGTTGTCTTCATTTCATTTTTCTCGGGTTTAAAAATATTTTGTCCCTGGTTTCTTTAATGGCCCACTAGTTATTAAAGGGTAACTGTTCAATCTCAATGTATCTGGAGTTTCTGTAGTGTCAATGGCTATTGATTTCTAGTTTTATTATAGGGTGATATATTAAGATGCAAAAATTACTTTGATATTTTTGTTTCTGTTAAGACTTGTATTATCACCTAAAATGTTACTGATTTTAGACAGTCGTACAGGATTGTTACAGTTACTATAGGTTTTTCCTTGGCATGTAACATGACTATCCCATCCCTATCCTGGAACAAATACACCTTTTCCTAGTAGTCATACCAATGAAATAAGCAGAAAATTAGGGGGACAGCTGGCTCTGTGGCAATGATGATGGAACTATTACTATTGTCCAGTAGGAGAGGCAGAGAAAGTCATACCTGCTAACACAATTACTACTCCTTTCTGCCTCCCAACAGCATGTGATCTTAGAAAGGTTCTAAACTAGAGTTCATGGGAGGTTGAAGATTAACTGAAGACAACTCTGGTGCTGATTCAGTGCAGTTATTATCCATATATCTTAAAGTAGCTTATACCTCACCTATGTTCTTGTAAGTCTGCTAAACTCAGTGATCCCAAGTTGGACTTAGAGTAATTGCTTTGGTTTTTCATTGGTTTCCTATCTGGAGCTAATGGACATGTGTACACATTTCCCCAGTAAAAGCCATGCCCCAACAGCTGAGATGCATGTGCACTACACTAGTGTTAAAGGGATGTTCTGTATGCGCTAAGTGTGTGAGGTCTGTGGTTCGTTTTAACTCTCTCTGTACCTGAAGCTCTCCCTTTCAGCTGTGCCAGGTGGCCAGCATCTGCTTGCTTCCACCCACCAAGGCTGGAGCTACAGGCATATGTAGCCATGCCTGACATTTACATAGATAATGAAATTGAAACGCTGGTCCTCATGCTTTCCTCTCCCACTGAGTTCTCTCTCCAGTCCACTAATGTTCTTTCAATTGTTTGATCAAATCTATGGCTTATGCTTTCCTTGGTGGTTTTTATTTGAGTTTTTCATTTCTAACATTGTTCTTTTTCTTTTTTTCAAATATCAATTTCCTTGCTATATTTCTCAAGCATGTTGCTGGCATACTGACTTTTTAACTCTATATTCTGAATTGATTCCCTTTCATGTGCTTGCTTGAAATCATTATTTTTTAAAAATAGAGTTTTGGATTCTCAATTTGTCATTAAACCATGACAGTCTCTTAGGATGTGATAACTGATAAGCCATGGTCTTTGGAGATATCTTGCTCCTTTTACATGTTTCTTGTATTTCTGTGATGCAGTTTCTACATGTTAGGATCCAATGTCTGTTCCTATTTCATTTGAGACTCTTCTTAGTAAGCAACCTACACTCAATTCCCAGCAACCCTCAGAGTAACCCTCATTATGCAGCAGCAACTCTAAACCAAACAAGATACAGAAATACACTAAAAATTAATACAATACCAGAACCATGGAAATGGCAAAGGTAATGTGAGTATTGCGAGTATACTATAAAGTTAAAGTTAGTGGTAAAAGTAGAAGCAGTAAATGAATGGAATAAAGAAGATGGCTTACTATTAAAGGCACTTGGCACATAAGCCTGATGACCTGAGTTTGAGCTGAGGAACCCTTTTTAAGATGAAAGGAAAAAAATACCTCAAAAAAGTTGTCTTCTTGACCTCCATATGTGAGCTGTGACACACACAGTCACACATCATACACTGCATATTACACACAGTAGTAATATTTTTAAAAACAAAGTGAGAAATACTACTTAAAGACATTTTTTGAATAAGGGAATACACATACAGAAAAAGGATGAAGCATTGGAACAGCTTCTCAATGGGTCCTCTAAAATTGCCTGCCAAGAAAAAGGAAAGGATCAGTTGAAGTCTGCCTTTCCTACCATTCAGGGCAGTGCTGAACCAGGACTCAGCCTGCGTTAGACGTCAGAGTTGTCTTCATTTTAGGACTGTCCATCCCCTGTGTACCAGAGCCCATGCTGACCACCATTATTAGCTTTGAATCCTGTCCCAGCAGATTTCCGTATATGCCAGAGACTCCTTAGTCTCATCTCTCCTTGGGTAGCTAGCGTGGCAACCAAAGGATGGCTGCTGAGTGTGTTTTAGAGGGTGGCAGGCTAGCAAAGCACAGAGATCTACACAAGGACAGCTCTTGTGCTTTCAAAACCCTACTCAGGGTCAGCCACAGCTAGAGGGTGAGGCTGAAGAAGTACAGGGCTCCACTGAGCTTCAGAGCAGTCAGTGCTGCCATCAGCGGACCCCCACCCCAGATGGATGGATGACTCTGAGGGGACATCAGGCTCAGGGCTGTGAGACTTCATTTATCCTCAAGTGATGGGTTAAGTAAGGTCCCAGCACCCCATCATTGTTAGTCATTGTACCCTTCATTGCCCAAGGGGAGCCTCCTGGTACTTGAACTTCTCCTTTCCAGGTTCCTTGACTTCTGATTGGCCCTTGTATTAGGCGGGAAGGAGGTGGGATAGTCTTAACCAATAGTTTCCCTCTCTAAATGGCTCATGGCTAAGACACTCTAAGGTTTGAGGAGCTGCTTACCACTCTAGTTGGTGGCCTGAAGCTGGGAGAGAAGGGCCTGGAAGTCTCATCCAATAGCCAACTGTAGTCAGAGCATCAAACAGTTTATACTTGGAGGGTTAAGAATCCCATAGTATGGTGTTCAATCACAAGGACAAGCCACACATGGCAAAAACATGTTTTTTCATACAGGCATATAAACAAATAAGTCAGCTGCAATGAAGAAAATGATCTCACTCCTGTCTGCCACACCTAGGAGGGGCACAAACACACATCCAAGAATAATTTCAAGTTTTGAAGAAACCGAGGTCACTAGAGACTCTTGTCTGTTTTCTTGGAGTTTTCTCACAAGCATTCAAAGTTCCCTGTGAACAGCTCATTCTTAGAATGTTCTGATGGAGAGCAGTCACTCTCCCAGCAGATGTCTCGGTGGCTCAGGAGCTTGTCCTGTGCTTAGGTACAGTGTCTGCTGCTTTCCCCTTTTGATGGTGCTTCCAATTCCCCTGTGCTAACCAGTCACACTGAGGGTCTGTGCTGCTTGCCCCTTCAGGCGTCAGGACTCTATTTCCTGCACCTTTCCCTGTCCTCTCTCACTCCCTGTGAGTCCCCTCCTCTTCTGTCTTTAACTCTGTTCTCCTGACTTTTCTCATTTACCCAGACTCACCAAGGCATCTTCGCCTGTCTGTCTCAGTCTGGAATTGTTTGCATTTTCAAAAGTTCTCAAACTTTTAGCTCCATAGTCTTACTCTTGTGTGTATGTGTCTTCTCTGAATGTAGTTACATAAATAAACCCTTGTGGCATTTATGTATTAGTGGATAAGCAGTTTAATTGTTCATGTTTGTTCTCTAAATTTCTGTGCCAATCACTGATTGGTTGTGTTTTAGAAAGTTATGCATTATTTCTTTTTTCTTCCAAGATGAAATCCCTTCTTGGGAAAAATGAGGAAGAGCTGGTCCAAGCTGTGAAGTGTCGAGATGCTGCCCTGAAAGAGAGCCAGAAACTGAGAGGGGACCTGGAAGCTTTGGAGGACAGGGAGAGCAAGAAGGCAAGGTGTCCTCTCTGAACATCCTTTTCCAACAGGCACCATGATAAGCCTGACAAGCCACACCCACTAACTTCCTTTTTCATCCATGAAAGGGGAAGCTGTGATTAGTGAAGGGCTAACATTGTTGATTTTTTTCTATAATAATGCACTATGACTACAAGAAAAAAAGTTGATTGTTTTCTATTAAATTCTGTCTGGTTTTGGTAGTAATCACCTTCTGTGGGTGTTTTACTATCTAATTTGTGTGGATTTTTAACACAGGGTCTGAGAGTGTCTATCCTATCTTAGTCCCTTGTGGTCCTGACCTGGGGCTGGGATTGTCATCCTGTCTAGCCTATTCTTTGTGTTGAGTGTCATATGACACCACAGTGCTTCTTCTCCTTGACATTTCTGTGCTCCTGTGTGATTTAGCAGAAGTCCTCTCCCAGCTTTTTAAAATGTTTAGACTTTTTCATTCACACATTGTAATTGTGTGTATTTATTAGATATTATATGACATTTTCATGCAGCTATAAAACTTGACTCATACCAGAATACTCAGCATACCTGTCACCTCAAATGTATTGTTCCTTTGTGTCAGGCACACTCCATAAATCCCTTACTAGCTAGTTACACTGTTTCTATGTGAAACACTCAACAAATTCTTTGCAGCTATGTTATCTTATTGACTTTAAAAAGCATTAGGAGTTGCCTCCTATCCAGTAGCACCACTGTAACCACCCTGTGTCCATCCTCCACCACCTTCCCTAGGCTCTAGCAGACACTATTTTCTACTTCTTTGAGGTCAGGGTTTTAGCTCCCACATTTAAGTGAGCATATATGATACATATCTTTCTATTCTTGAGTTATTTCAGTTCAATCTAATGTCTGCCACTTCCATCCATGTTACTACAAATGACGGAATTATTATTCTTCTGTGTGAATAACATCACCTAAAATTTGATTTTATGTGAATGTGTGTGTGTACATTGTGGAGGTCAGGGGGAAATTTGCAGGAGTTCTCTCCATCTGTCATATATATCCCAGAGAGGAAACTCAGGTCATCAGGCTTACTGGCCAGTGCTTTATATACTCTGAACCATTTTTCTAGCCCATCTCAAACATCTTGACAGCCAGCGATAAGTGTTATGTCTTTGAAGAGGGAGACCTATGGCCACATCATTCTTTAGCAGCTTCCACTTTCTCCCCCAGTCTTTATCCTCAGATAATTTCAGATGTTTTCCTTTTCTGAGCCCATTAGAAGACAGCTAGCTGGGCATGCTTACCAAGATCACTTCTGAACCAAAGAAGTTGTTGGCCCCAGTATGTCCATGTAATTGTGAGCTGCGCCGTGGCAGTGGGCAGGAAGCTATTTCCCACAGACTGTAGGATCTGTTTTTCTCTTTCTGAAAGCACAATAACTTAAGAAACAAAAGTGAAATATACTTTCCCTATTTCTATCTTGTCTTTTAGGTGGGAAACTTTCAGCGGCAATTAGCAGAGGCTAAAGAAGACAATTGCAAAGTCACAATCATGCTGGAAAATGTGCTGGCTTCTCATAGTAAGATGCAGGGAGCTCTGGAGAAAGTCCAGATAGAGCTCGGCCGGAGAGATTCGGAGATTGCAGGCCTCAAAAAGGAAAGGTACAACATTTATGTTTCTGCTGTGTTTAGGAAGGACATGAGGCCTCTTGAGTATCATTTACTTTGAAAAACTCACCAAGTTGGTGTTTAAAGAACTAGCAGACTAGGGGCTAAACCTGCACTTTAAAAGGCTTTCTAAAAAGGCCAGGTGGCATGAAGGAAAGCATATCCTTGAACTTCATGGACTTTTTTAACCTTGTTACTTTCTGCCTCTTAAGCTTAATTTTGTCCTTGGCTCTACAGAATAATGTCAAGAAAACTGTTTGGCAAGAGATCTAGAGAGCATGCTCAGTGGTTGAACACTTGTGGAGCATGTGCTAGAGTCCAGACTCAATCCCTACACATACACACACACACACACACACACACACACACAAACTTGAAGCCAAGCAACTTATTCAATTATTACTATATTATTTCAAGATTAATAATTATTTTTGGTTAATCATCCTGAGAATTAACTTTAGCTGTGCTTTATTAGTGGACATTAATGTTTCAAAATTACATGAAATGAAAACCAATAATTAGAAAATTATAAAAATGGTCTGAGGCTGATAGTGCCTCTGGAATGTATATTACTGGTTCATATTGCTTGTATGTTATGAGAAAACAAGAGAATTGTCTTTTTCTTTACCATGCTTTATTATTTCATGTTATAAAAATGTTAATATACTACCTTAAAGTTTTTAAAAGACAAGAGAATAGTATATAAAATAGTTTACTTGTCACAATACATTTCAAAGTAGCTATTATATTTAGAAGCAAAAGTTTCAACAGCAGGCCAAACCTTACCCAACTGGTAAAGCATTATACAAAATTACTGTCCCAGAATTCAGTCAAAAACAGGGATTCATAGCCTAATGATTAAGCCTGACTGAGTCACACATGGGATAAAATTTTATATCCTTGGGAGCCTTTCTTTTTTGGCCTGAAGATGAAGAAACAATTGTTACTTATCAACTCTGATATTTTGAGCAGGTGTAGTTACTGCTACTAATGCTGTCTAAGCTTCCAAGAGAAAGGTGTCCTGGTACTTCCAAGCAGTGTCATCATTCCTGTACCCTTCCTTAAAATCATGTCTTATGCTTTTTATCTTCAGGTCTCTAAATCAACAAAGAGTACAGAAGCTGGAAGCAGAAGTGGACCAGTGGCAGGCCAGGATGCTGATTGTGGAGGCCCAGCACAGCAGTGAGGTAGAGGCCAGGTGTCAGAGCTGGCCACACTGACCCGCTCAGCTTATTGAGACATTACTATTTTAGAAAATTGAAATGAAATACAGAAAGTTCCTTTTCATTCAATTAAGAATCTTGGACAATAACAACATATTCATGAATAGGAAATAGGTGATGAATTATAACTTTGATTTGATTTTCTCTTTCATTATCCTCATTTGTCAATGCACAGGTTGTTTCAGGAGTTAAATGTCTTAGAAAACAACCTATAATCTCACAGCTAGATGATGACATTGGTAGTGAGCAGACATGTGCACACATGTGTGCCCATTGTATGTATCCATACATGTTTATATATAACAAACATGAATGAGCCTTTTGATGTTTACTTATTTGGAGGCCAGCACACATGTGCCATATGTAGAGGTCATGTGGCAGCTTGTGGGAATCCATCCCCTCTTGTGGGATGGGTACAAGTGATTGAACTCAAGCTGGCTAGCTGGGTGGCAGTTGCCTTCCCCTACTCAGCCATTACAGGAGCCCTTAAATAAGCCTGGTTTGGGAAGAATATACAAGGAATACTTGCCTTTTTTTTTTTTTTTTTTTTATTTTTTTTTAACCTCCTAGAAAATGAGGCCAGAAGAGGCATTGTAAGATAGCTCTATTTTCAGTGCTCTCTGACCTCTGGGGGAATTCTTCTGAGAATCTCTTAGGCAAGGATGGTTGTTGAGTTGTGTGTGTGCATTATATATTTTACCCAGTGTATTTGTTTCTAGTTTCAACTGATCATTTCCATGGCACTTCCAAAGAAAGTGTTAGGAGCAAAGACTGTTGTACTGACTGCCCTGGACTGACAGGTGCTCTTCTCCCTTTCAGATTGAGCCACTCCAGAAGTCTCTAGATGTAACTAGAGAGGACAACAGGAAACTGGCCTTGAGCCTAGAGCAAGCTCTCCAGACAAATGGCCATCTGCAGTCTAAGCTAGATCACATCCAAGAAAAACTGGAAAACAAAGAACTTGAGCGGCAGAACTTAGAAGCCTTCAAGTAAGGGTCGTGTACTCAGTGAAATTAGGGAAGAGCCTCTGGAGGAGTAAGTGGCTTATTCAGATGCGGTAGAGAAGCCCTTTCTCTTTGGTGGTGAGCAAGCAAGCATAGCTGAACAGCAGCAGGCAACAGCTGCTGGAGCATGCCTGTGTGGGTCTCCTTTCCAGGTCTCCTCACCTGTTATCAAGATGATTCTTTGTGAAGTTAGCCAGAAAATGTAAAGACTGCTGTGGGGGACACTTGCATGTACTGCCGACCTTAAACCATCCTTTAAAAGCATTATTTGAGCCAGGTGTGGGAGGCACACGGAAATGTTTCACACTTAGAAGGCCGAAGTAGGAAGAGCATGAGCTTGAGGCCATTGTGGGCTATATCGTAAGATCTGTCTCGAGAAAACCAAAGTAGGGGCTGAAAGAGATAGCTAAGTTGGCAGAGGTACTTGTGTGGGGCAGATGACCTGAGATCAATCCCCAGTCTTACAAGAACCAGCTCACAAGAGTTGTCCTCTGACGTGTGCATGGCATGTGTACATGCACACATTTATAAATAAAAGTTAAGGAAACCAAAATAAATAATGCAGATTTGGGCAAGGAATCACAGTAGTCTGAGTGGACTACCCATTCAGAACTGGAAAGACTATATCTAAGCAGATGATAGCCCATTATGTTAATGTGTGCCTGAAATCGGTTCTGTCAAACCATGAAAGTTTTTATATAAACAGTATTCAGTAAATATGATCCAGACATTAATATTATTGTATGGACATTTATGCTTAGGGAAACTCAGTATAGAACCTCACTCTTGTCACTGGTTGTACATGCCAATGCGGGGTCAGGGCAGATGCTGAGGCAGAGAAGGCGCTTTCTACACATGAAATCTGTGCAAAGTTTATTTTCTGGTCAAATGTTACTGCCACAAAGCTGTGCAGTTTGGCTAAAACAATATCGTGTATAGTAGCTGGCAGAATTATTTAAAAAAAAATATATCAAAGTCGGATAAATTGATTGTTTTCCTAGTGAGTCATTCCTATCCCTAACTATCCTGAAAATTCTTCAGGTACTCTTTTTTTTTTTTTTTTTTCTGTTTAGTTGTTTGTTTTTATTTTATGTTATTTTATAATTTTCTTCCAGTTTGTTTTCTAATATGAGAGAGCAAGAAAAGATGTAGCTTTGAGTGAGTAGGGAAAGAGGGGTGATCTGGGAGGAAGTGAGAGAAGGGAACCATAGAATGACCCCCATCACTTTTGCTAAAGTGATTATTGTAAGGTCAGTGACAGGAGAGTACGGCGAGACTGAGACCTTGTAGCACTGGCTTCAGAGTGTGTCTACATACCACCCTGCCCCATTTTCATCAAAGAATACTACCTCACCTGAGGACTGCCAACCTGTTGATACTGTGCAGATTTATACTAACCTGTGTGTACACTTAGGAAGAAAGATCAAGCATGGGAAATTATGTTTTAGACACATTGGTTTTGAGATACAATTATGAGATGTAGAAAGGCAGGGTAGTTCTGAAAAGAGGTCACGTTTAGAATTCATCTTTACAAGGATGAGAGCTGAGTACTGAAGTGTGTTGTCTTCATGGGAAAGTACAGGTAGAATGGAGGTCAGGGTAGCAGTGGCAGTGATTTCAAGAAGGAAGAGCCCACAGAAGGAGCCATTGAGCTTTCTTGACTCTTAAGATGATTTTTTAAAGTGAATTTATCATGTTTCCTTCAAAACAGAGAGCGGATGACTGAAGAGTCCAAAGTAGAAGCAGAATTGCATGCAGAGCGCATTGAAGCTCTGAGAAAGCAGTTTCAGACTGAGAGAGAGACTGCGAGAAAGCCGCACAGAGGGAAGTTTCTGAGGTGAGGGGGAGCACCTCTTAGGGTCACCAGCAGAGCTGGTGCAGAGTCTGCAATTGTCTGAGCCAGGTGTACTCTGGCCACCTCTGGCCACACTTCTAAGAAAGCTATTTCTGATAAGCAGTCCCCTGCCTGGCAGAGGGGTACCTTAAGAACTTTCCTGTCAGAGGCCTGAGAAGACTGCCATCTATGTGATGCTCCTCAGCCCATCTGCCGCCTCACCACTACAGTGTATCTGCACATGCAACAGCAGTGGAAGGGCCGTAGAATGTTTGCTCAGCTGCACAAAGCTCTGGCCTCCATCTCCAGCAGCACATTGTGGTACACAATTGTAAGCCCAACACCTGGGAGGTAAAAATAGGAGAACCAGGAAGTTCAAGGTTATCCTCAGCTACATACTGAGTTCAAGGCCAGCCTAGACTACATGAGGCCTTGTATAAAAAAACAAAAAAACAGAAAACAGCTGTAAAAGATGTGATACATGCTGTATGCATGAGCCAAATAACCCTTGTTTAGTTGTGATGGCCACTCTGGACATGAGAAAAATAGCAAGACATCAGAGAGCTTTTCTTGGATAACTAGAGGTAGTGTACAGCTTTGAAGGAATTCTAAGTAAGAGAAAATTTATTTTAGGCTGGTTGATGGGTGGGAGACAAGAAGCAATGAAGCCATAGCTTTGAGTCACAGGCATGCAGGGCAAAGCTGAGCTACAAAACTGGAAATCAGAGAAGGGAAGTTACCTTAAAATGGGCAGCCTGGTCCCACAGCCTTGCCTTGTAGACCACTGGATGGGAATTGTCAGGTGAAGCATGAGCACTCTAGGAACAACTTCAAGTCACTGTGGTGACAGTAGAAAGTAGAGGAGAATAAAGAGAAAGTAGATGGGGGCATAAGAAAACCATAGTAGGTTTTGGTAACTGGTAATCAGAGCCAAGTAATTGATAATCAAGAGTTGAAAAAGGGAACAGTTAAATCAAAAGCTATTTTAATAGAGGAATAAACACTTTAACTGTTGTACTCTGAGCATGAAAAAGGGAGGGCCTAGTTTGGTGTTATTTTTTGTTTTTTTTTTTTTTGTTTGTTTGTTTTGTCTATTTGGTATGCTTTTATTTTCTTGGTTTTGAGGGGTTTTGTTGTGTTGGGGTTTTGTTTACTGAGAAACAATTTAAAGTTGAGTGGGTAGGGAAGGAGAGAGGATCTGGAGGTACTTTGGTGAGGAGAAGAATATTACCAAAATATATTTAAATTTAAGAATTGTTTTAAATAATAAAACACATACTAAAAAGTAGTAAACACACATAAGACTTGAGGTGAATTGTGTTTTACCAAATACTATATTTAGTAATTGTTATTGGCAGGTACAGTTAACAAGTTCAACTAGTGATACTTTATAAAAGCTTTGTGACACTGTATACATGTGTTATAAAAAGCAATTCTGTGGGAAGCAAATAGGTGTCCTAAATGTAAAAATACACTATTGATTAGAGCTCATTGCTCAGAACACACCAAAAACTGAAATGTGGCGCTGGAGAGATGGCTCAGAAGTTAGGAGCCCTTGTTGGTCTTGCAGAGCATCAGGAATGGGCTCCAGGCACACATACGGCTCAGAGTCCCATAATTCCCAGTGCCCTCTCCTCTGATCTTATTGAGAATGAGGCACATGTGGCATATATACATACAGGCAGGTAGAACACTCAGACACATAAGTAAATCTAAATTTAAAGCCCCTGGCCCTAAAGGAGCATATGTGAAAATGGTGAACAAATGAGGGAGCCTGGCAACAGTGTGCCACAGCAGAAACAATGTCGCACACCTTAAAATAACAGTCTACAACTGGGTTCTGCCTTCTTTCTTGTTTTATTAAACTCTAATGTATCCCCTTAAGTAGGCGATTCACTCATTTTCATTGATGGGCCTGAGACTTGAGGAAGTTAATTACAGAAACCTGTTCATAGGTAGAAACGCTGAGACTGGAGCTTAGGTCAACATTCACATTATCTAGTTTAAAGAGTGTTTGTTATATTCTCAAATGGTAAGTGAAAATCACTTGATTTGTTTCTCCATAAATCTGTGTAATCAGACATCATGCACTGCATCATTTTCTTATTTTTTATATGTATAAGTCTTTTGCCTGCATATAGGTCTGTGTTCCATGTGCATACATAGTGCCCTCAGAGGTCAGGAGGAGGCATCACATCCCCTGGAACTGGAGTTAGGGATGGCTGCCAGCCACCATGTGGGTGCTGAGAACTGAATCCGGCTCCTCTGCAAGAGCAGCAGTGCTCTTAACTTCTGAGCCACCTCTCCAGCCAGAAGTGGAAATGTAGGGACAAAGTGTAGCTTCTCTGAATGAATACCAGGTAAAAGGCGTTCCTTCTTTTTTGTTCTTTTGTCTTCTAAGCTGAAGAAGGCTCTTGATGAAGCCAACTTCAGATCTGTGGAAGTGTCCCGGACAAACCGAGAGCTACGGCAGAAACTTACAGAGCTGGAAAAAGTAGTGAACAGTAACAAGGAGAAACTAAAGAATCAAAAGACCCAAATAAAGCTGCACTTGTCGGCCAAGGCAAATAATGCGCAGAATTTGGAGAGGATGAAGGTTATATGAGAAGCCCAGCCCTCTCCTTACTGCTTCAGTGGGTTAGGAGGGTCCCTGGCTGCAAGATCTGTATTCTCGGGAAAGTGGGCAGGTTACTTTTATGGGATCATCTTTGCTTTGGTGGAAGTATCCATCTTTCCCAAGGTGGGACGTCCTCATTTACAGGATGTATATAAAAGACTGCCCATCCGGCTCTTTCAGGGTCAGTGGGCTTGGTAGGAAATAGAACCCATCAGAAACTGAACACTTAGAATTCAGCCAGCCTAAAAGCCAAAGTTAATCTACTGGCCATTATATTTTTTTATGTTATTTGAACATTTACTTTCAGCAAATAGAAATGGAATTGAGGCAAATGGAGATAATTAAGGATCAGTATCAGAAAAAGAACTACGAACAGGTAAAATATAATTCCTACAAACTTGGTTTTACTATTTATCAAGAATCCAACTTGCTTTTACCATGTTTCCTTTCTTATTCCCCACCAGTCATTGAGTATCCAGAGATTTGTATCTGAAATGAATACCCTGCAGAAAGAGATGGAGCTGTTAGCCAAGAGCCAGTATGAAACCTCCACACGGAATAAACAGCAGGAGCTGAGACTAGCAGCCGAGCGGAAAATGAGGCAGGATCTAGAAAATCGTTGTGAGGTAAACAGTTATTAGCAAGTGTATGTGCCTAAATCCAGTGAAATGGCTTAGATTTTCCTAGATTCTATACAACAACAACAACAAAAACTGTTGTGGTGGTTTGAATAGGTATGGCCCCCATAGACCCATGTGTTTGAATACTTGGTCCATAGGGACTGACACTCTTAGGAGGTGTGGCCTCGTTGGAGTAGGTGAGGCCTTCCTGGAAGAAATATGTCACTGTGGGGGGTGGGTTTTGAGGTCTCAGAAGCTCAAGTCAGTTCACTTGTGCTGGCTGTGGATCAGGATGTGGAACTCTCAGCTGCTTCCCCAGCACCAGGTCTGTCTGCATGTGGCCATGTTTCCCTGCTATGATGGTAATGGACTAAGCCTCTGAACCAATTAAACATTTTCCTTTATAAGAGTTACTATGGTCATGGTGTCTCTTCACGTTGATAAAATACTAAGACACATGTAAGGAGTAAGGTTTTTCCTCCCGCCGCCGGTTCTGTCCCGCTGCCGCACCAGCCCCAATTAACACACAGACTCTGTATATGATATAATGCTGTTGGCCAGTTACTTGTTTCTTATAGGCTAGCTCTGTCTTAATTATTAACCTATTTCTATGTATTTCCACGTGGTCTTACCAGGGAGAGGCGGCTGGCAGTTCTGCTTTCTTCAGACTCTCCATCTTGACTCCTCCCTTCCTACTTCCTCTTTCCTCCTTGTCTCCTAGTCCCTCCTATCTTCCTTTCCTATTGGCCAACAGTGCTTTATTCATTATCCAGTATGAAAAACATATATACATAATGGCATCTCCCATCAGACACATGTTTAGAAAAAATGGTACATTAATTACTTTCCTCATTGTAGTGACAAGAACATCTGACACAAACAACTTAAAAGAGGATTTACATCAGGTCATAGTTTCATAGATTTTAGTCTCTAGACCCTGGCTCTCTTAACTCTGCACCCCAGCTGGACATCATGAGAACAAGGACATATATAGAAGGAGACTGCCCACCTCGTGGTGGACAGGAAACAAAAGAGGGGACTGGGTATATCCTTCAAATACTCCCAGTTACCAGCTAGCCCCCACTTCCTAAAGTTTCTGCCATCTTCCCGAGTAAAGCCACCAGCTGGAGTCAGCATTCAGCACATGAGCCCTTTGAAGTATACTTGGTACTGACACCGTGGTAGTTTGGAATGTGGACAATAATCTTCATTCTCAGTTTGCTTTCACAAAGGAGCTCATATAAACAAAACATTAGCATGGGGCCTTTGCAGCTGACTCTGGTTTTCTGGGAGCTTTACAGCTCTTGATTTCTCTCTACAAAAAAGAATGGACTTGTTGCTGCCACAGGAATCTACGTATTCCTAATGAACAAAAATTATAAAAACCAAAAACAAACTTCAAGAGATCATTGACTTCATGTCTTCCAATAGCCATGAAAGGTTCTTTTCAATTAAAAAAAAATTAATTTCTCTTGGCAGAATTCATAAACTAAAATCAAACTCTTTGGATAGACTATAGATTAAATTGTATTAAAATACAAAATACAAGGTCATAACTGTCTTGTCATGATCTAATTGCCATATTATAAATTTGAAGCATTTTGGTTCTATGTGGTACATTGGAAGTTTATTAAAATCTATCACATTTTCAGGAATTGGAAGAAACTGTCAGACACCTGAAGAAATGTAAAGAAGCAACAGAGAATAAACTAAAAGAAGCCAGTGTGGAGTCAGAACAGGTAAGCCAGACTCAGGCACTTGGAGAAATAGAGCAACCCTGGGCATACAGTGTTTGGCATCTGCCATTGACACAGTTGTCAGGGTACAGCAGGCAGGGAACAACAGTTTTACTAAGTGTTATCTTGATTGTGAAGAATTTTAGATAAGATTCTGTGTCCTGATGATAATGAAATCTGAAGCCTAATTTCATACCACTAAACTAAAGGGAAGGGCAGCAAGGTGTGGATCTAATGCATGTTGCTGCTCAACATCCTCTGACTTCCCTGGCCACAGGTTCTTGGCTAGATTTACAATAAAAGACATGAGTTTTCCTTCTGTAAAACAGGCCTCAAATCTAATCAGAAAGTGGTTGGTTATCCGCATATTCACACCACTACTCTCACCCATGGGAGCTACAGTAATGACCAGCCTGGCACAATATGTCCATGGGTTTTACATTAGCATACAAAGGAAATTGTAAAGTATCACAGAAACATAACTGTCAATTTATCATTGGTTCCTGGATGACCATTAAGTTACACAGCAGAATAACTTGCCAACTAGGATGTTAGAAAGAAAAGGACTCTTGAAAACTTGAAACGTTCGAGTGCCGGTTATGAAGTTTTCTCTGGGCCCTTTATAAAAATTACATTTACTCTCATTTTTGAGTGTATGTGTGCACATACATATATGTTCATGTATGGGGGTGCATGTGTATGAGTGTAATCATGCATGTAGAGACCAGAGGACAACCTTGAGTATCCTCAGGTACTATCCACCCTTTTTTTTTTTTGAGACAGGGTCTGTTATTGGACTGGAACTCAGCAACTAGACTAGGCCGGCTATCCAGCGAGCCCCAGGGATCTGCCTGTCTCCTCCTCCCTGGCTCTGGGATTACAAGTACACGCCACCACACCCAGATTATCTTCTAATGTGGGTTCTGGGAATCAAACTGAGGTCCTCATTATTACACAGCCAGCATTTTATGCAATGAGTTGCCTTCTCAGCCCATGTTTACTTTCTATGAACTGTTCATTACTGTGTTTACAACATAATTCAATTAGCTAATACCCACTATTATGTTATTCTAATAGATTTTTCAGTATATTTCAATGTCAGTTCCCTCTCATTTGCCATACAACAGGAGGTATAATTTATTTCAGTGTCTTTCCCTGTACTTCGGGGATGGGGGAACACTTGGAGGAGGATTGGGCTGGGTTTAGAGAGTGAAGTGTTGCTGTTACCAGGTGGTACCAACAGACCTGAAAATATTTTTGTAGTTCCTAAAAGTTAAATTACATTTTAGCGAAGAAGTCCAGTGCTTTTATCTTGCCCACATGATGGCCTCGCTAATGTCAGAAAGTGCTTGGCAGTACACGTTTGCTAGATCTACTTTGTCCATGCTTCACTAGGTGTAGGCTATGTAGGGAGTACTGACAAAACATGTGGGAAGCAGAGGCCTGAGTGTGAGCATCCTTTAATGCCTTGCTCAGCATGTTCCCTCAGCTTAATAGTAGTTTAGTGTACTTACAGACACATTGCAAGGATCTCATGTGAGCATTTGAGTCTTCTGATAGCTAGGTAAAAATCTCCTATACACATACACAAAAGAATTTGTGGCCGTTTCTGTGTTCAGATAACAGCTAATCTGGAAGAAGCTCACCGCTGGTTTAAATGCAGGTTTGATGGCCTACAACTTGAGCTGACAAAAAACCGGCTGCAGAGGCTTCCCCGCGAAGACAGGTGGCCAGAAGAGGTGAGAATGACATGGTTGTTGTAAAGAAGTTTGAGTTTCTCCTTCTCCATTTCTGACTACAGAAGCCCACTTAATCATCTAGCTGCTCATCTATAGGTTTCTTTCAACTACTGTTAGGAACCCAATGGACTAAGTTTTGTAGAAGTTTTACCTTTCCCAAACTATCTAGATTAAAACTACCTACCTGAACGTATACATGGCATTAAGGAGGGCAACAGGCTCTAAACTATTGGTTCTCAGCAGGCAAGAGTTGGGTTATTTTTTTCCCCCTACAGGATCAAGATAGGAGGCATGATGTTGCATCCAGCCAGTCTGTTCTACACCGATGGGAGACTAAGCAAAACCTCGGGCTTATGCCTAAGAAGTACCATTCTGACACAGAGAGGAAGAAATGTCCTTGACAAAGGAATCCTTGTGAGAAGTTATGCCTCCATGATTCTGCTGGCTAGAAAGCAGGGCTGGCCTGTTTCTACATTGTAAGGACATGCTGTGTGCTGAAGATTTTGGATTTTGTCCTTTATGAACTCATTTAAATTACTGTAGAACAACCCCATCTTTTTTGTCCTTTTCCCTATTTTCCACACAATAAATTTAAATTAGTTTGTTTTATGATGGTAGATGCTGTCATATATTTGCCATTTTTCAGAAAGAATTTAGTAAAGTGTTAAATGGCCACTAAATAATACACTTATGTCAATGAGATCTTCTAGATGAATTCTGTAGGATACTCTATAACTGGTTGTGATGAAACACCACTAGTCTTGGACCAACCAAGGATACTCTCTGGAAATGCAATTATCTATAAAAACATCTGTAGACATTTTTCTGTACCTTCAAAACATACACATTCTGGGTGATTTTGAAAGTATCTTGTAAACAGCACATGTCAAAGACTATATTTAGTTTCTTTGGTCATCAAAGAGCTGTTTTCTGAATACAGGAGTTGCTCTGCTTTTCCTTATACTAGTAAGTAGCAAATTGATCTTTATATTTGTTATTTCAGACATTAAATGGTGGGTTGAATCCTTAGAGAATGTTGATTATACCATGAGAACCTTTAGGAATGGATTCATGCCTTTAAAGGGGGCTAGGGCAACAGCCTTTCGGCCCTGCTGACTGATGACAAAGCACTTAGCTCCTCCAGAGCACACCAACAATCAGGTGCTACCCAGAAGTGGAGGGCAGAGTCTCATCACACACCAACCCTGTCAGCTACTCTTCCTTGGACGTCCAGGCCTCCAGAACTGTGAGAAATTATTTAAAGATTATTTTAAAATTTCCTACCCTCAAGTATTTAGTTTCAAGAAGGAAACAAAGACATTTGATTGAGGAATTTAAACTTGTTTCTGGTGTTTTTGAGTCTTGAACACCATTGTTATCCATAGAAGTCTTTCTTCAAAAAGATGTTAGTGTCTACTCTCTCTCTCTCTCTCTCTCTCTCTCTCTCTCTCTCTCTCTCTCTCTCTCTCTCTCTCTCTCTGTGTGTGTGTGTGTGTGTGTGTATGTATGTATGTATGTGTTTGAGGGCTCATAGTCTCGAATCAGTCCTGTAGACTGTAAACCTTAGTCCTGGGTCAACAGGAAAACAGGTCAATATGAAAAACTGAATTCCATATAAGAAAGAAATTCATAGTTACTACACAAAGGCATCTAACTATATGCTGCCATGAGTATTTACATGTTACATGCTAGAATTTTCATATCCTCCTGACCCTGAACAAGAATATTTTTTCTTCACATAGGTATTATCATTAAAAGATATTGTTATTGACATAGTCATTTAGATTGCTATTTGAGTTTGCGCGTGTGTGTAGAATGTCTGTTATATCTGTAGTATAGTGAAGTGACTACGGTGGTGACATCTTGTCCTGATTCTATTTTGTGGCTGCCTAAACACTCCTCAGCCTTCTACTGCACCCCCCCCAACAGCCTTGCTAACACTTTTGAACTATTTGTGACTCTGACCATCAAGAAGATGTATCGACCATAATAATTAGTGTTCATACAAACTAAAACATAAAATTAAAATAACTAAAAGTATAAATAAAAAAGAAATGTCATGTGGTATCTGGGAAATACTGCTAAGCTCTGCAAAAAGAGATTTTTACAACTGCAAATTTGCAGTTAAATGGATGAAACTAGAAAAAAAAATCCTGAGTGAGGAAACCCAGACCCAGAAAGACAAACATGGTATGTACTCACTCATAAGTTGATATTAGATGTAAAGTAAAAGATAATTAGGCTATAATCCATGACCCCAGAGAAGCTAGGTAACAAAAGGAGCCTAAGAGGGATGCATAGATTTCCCCTGGGAAGGGGAAATAGTGAAATCTGGATAAACTGGGGGTGGTGAGGGGAGATGGTGGGAGACTGGAAACTTGACGAATCAGGGTTGGTTGAGTTGGGGGTGAGATGAAGTGGGGAGAGTAATGAAAGAGTTATCTGGATAGAGGGGGCCAATTGGGAGTTATAGAAAAACCTGGTGCCATGGAAACTCCCCAGAATCCATAGGATGACACCAGCTAAGACTCCTAGCAATAGTGGAGAGGGAATCTAAACAGCTTTTCTCCTATAATCAGGTTGTTGATTGCCCTAATAGTCAACAGAGAGTCCAGTACCTAGTAGAAGCAGATGCAGAGATCGACAGCCAAGCACTCGGCTGAGCTTGATGTTCGGGAGTCCAGTTGTCAAGACAGAAGATGGACTATATGAGCAAGGGAGTCAAGATCATGATGGGGGAAACCCACAGAGACAATTGACCTGAATTAAGAGGAGCTCAAGGACTCTGCACTGACAGGTAGGGAGCCTGAATGGGACCAATCTAGATCCTCTGTATGTGGGTGACAGTTGTATTGCGTGGTCTGTTTGTGGAGCCCCTAACAGTGGGATCAGGACCTGTCCCTGATGGATAAGCTAGATGCTGGAACCTGATCCCCATGCAGGGATGCCTCACCCAGCCTTGATGGGGTGGGGGTGGGGCTTGGTCCTGCCTCATCATATGACATGCTTTGTTGACTCCCATGGGAGGCCTTACCCTTTCTGAGGAAGAGTGGATTTGGGGATAGACAGGAGGTGGGGAGGAAACAGGAATGGAGTAGGGAAGAAAAACTGTGGTAGTATATAAAATACGTGAAAAATTTAATAAAAGGATAAATCTTCAGGTCAGTATTGGACATGATATAAGAACAATAACATTTTAATAAATAGGCAATGTAGCTTGTTTACCATGAATGATGCTTCAGGTTTGATCTCCAGCACCATAAAAGAAAAAAAATAGAATTATATGATCCCTCTATATGCTAAAAGCATTTAATAAAAATTAATTTTTGAGATAAAAAAAGTAATTCAACACTCACTAAAGATACAGATAAGAAAATAGGGCCAGGAAGATGCCTTAATGGGTTAAAGAGTCATTGCAATCATGATAACTAAAGTTTGATCCCCAGATTCCACTTGGTAAGAGAGAGAACCATCTCTGACATCCCACTCTCACAAGTTATCATCAGACTTCCATATATATATTCTATGACATGCATATACACACACTAAATAAAAATGTTAATAAAAAGACAAAATGGAATTGAGAGGTGCTGCTTAACATGGTCAAGTGTGTACACATGAGAAGTGTATAGGTCTACCTAATAATGTCCAATATATAAATACCTATTGCTGAAACCAGGGGAAGATAGCACAATCTCCTTTCAAAACATGTCATTACAATTATCAATTAAGAACAGTTAAGAATGGGGAAAGCAAAAGCATTTGAATATGATAGGATAAAATACCTGGGAAACTACAAAGGAATGATCATATAACTAAAATAGTGAAAGATAAGCTAGAAGTACACAGAGTAAATGTAAAAATCAATAACCCTGTGAGGTGCAGTGCTGGGAATTGAACCCAAGGCTTTCCACTAGTGGAAAGTAGAAGTACTAGGGAGCTGTTAAAAATGTTACGCGTTTACATAGTGGTGAGCAAAGGTAAGGCGATAAAAATGCAGAAGTGTAGAAGGATCACTCCAAAGTCACTGACCTGCTTTGTGTAAAAGGCCCCTGTCTCTGGGGAAGTCTGGGGGGGGGTGGTGGTCAGCATAGTCCTGCTACCTGTGTGGGAGAACAAAGGGAGCTAGTAAAATTCTTTGGAGAGCTACCTCGTGTGACAGTCAGTTTGAGTACTTTTGAGTACCTGAGGAAAAGTCTCATGCAGAAAAAGTAAAACAAGCCACCAGCAACTCTGCATGAGTTCCCACATCAACTCCGTAACATCCACACAGTAATGTATTGACTGCTACCTCACATCTACCCCCCAACTCCCGGTGCATGTTCTCCAGGCATCTCTATCTGGGATACACAACTGCAGCTTAATCAGACTGGCATAGTTCAGACCACATGGGTGTGAGCATCTGCAACCCACAGGGGCAGTAATGATGTCCTGTTACACACACACACACACTCATGTATGTAACAATTATTGACAACAATCATGAATTAAGAAAACAAGGAGGGGTATATGGTAAGGTTTTGAGGAAGGAAATGGGTGTAAATTATGTAATTTAATATAATTTTTTTTTTTTTTTTTAATGCAGCTCCACCTGTATGTATACCTGACAGGTAGTTTGGGTGCACTTGGGAAGGTCTGTGGCTCCCATGCTCCCTCTAGTGGTGAGTCACTTTCTTGACTACTTTTTTGTTCAGTAAACCTGCACTTTAAAATGAAGAAAATTCTCTGGTAGCCAGCATCTTCGTGCAAACAGTGCAGAACTTACTCTGTAAAGTATGTCATCAGAAAACATTTTAGCCCTCTGAAAGTATGCTTAAATGATCAAATTTCTCCATCCAGATGTTTTTCTAATTTTTTTTAAATATCTATGGCATTTTGCCTGAATTTATATCTGCAACATGTACACACAGTGCCTGTGAAGAACAGAAGAGGATGCCAGATCCCCTGGAACTGGAGTTACAGATGGTTGGGAGCTACCAAGTGGTTGCTGATCCAAACCCAGGTGCTCTAGAAGAGCAGCCAGTGCTCTTAACCACTAAACCACCTCTCCTGTCCCCGTGGGTTTTTTCTTTTATTCTTCTCTTATAGATTATATCCCTACCAAATTTCCTCTCCCTCCACTCCTCCCAGGCTCTTCCCCTCTTTGCTTTTCTCCAGATCTGCACCCTCTTCAGTTTCCCTTAAAGAACAATGGGGGGGGGGGAGAGAAAGGCCTCCCACTGATATCCACTGAACATATAAGACTGGGCACAAACCCTCATAGAAAGGCTGAACGAGGCAACTCATTAGTAGGAAAGGGGTCTCAAGAACAGGCAAATGACTCAGAGACATCCCCCTCCCACTGTTGGAAGTCCCACAAGAACACCAAGATACACAACCATATGCAGAGGACCAGGCTCAGACCCATGCAGGGTCAGTGTTTCTCACAGCAGTCTCTGTGAACCCCTGAGTCTTGCTTAGTTGATTCTGTGGGCTGTGTTCTCATGGTGTCTTCTACTCCTTTGGCTCCTACAATCCTTCCTCTCTGTTGTATGCAGGGTTTCCCTAACCCTGCCTAATGTTTTGCTGTGGGTTTCTCCATCTTCTCTCAGCAATTGCTGGATGATGCCCCTC